TACATGAATTTTAGATCTTTTCATCTAGTTCCACAGGTCCGTGTGGCTTTTTTCATTTTCTTCAAACTGTTTTCTCTCTGTTTTTCGGACGGAGTGATTTTTAATTATTCTATTTTCAGGTTCACTTGTTCTTTCCTCTGTCCCCTCCATTCTACTGTTTAGTCCATTTACTGAGGTTTTTTTTACTTTGGTTATTATGTTTTTCAGGTTTAAACATTCCATTTAGCTCTTCTTTATGTTTTCTGTTTCTTTACTAATACTTTCTATTTTTTTGCTTTGTTTCAAGTGTGTTCTTAATTATTTGTTGAAGCATTTCTATGATGGCTGCTTTAAAGTCTTTGTCAGATAATGTTAACATCTGTCATCTTTGTATTGGCATCTGTTGATTGTCTTTTTTAAAATCAGTTTGAGATTTTTCTGATTCTTGGTATCATGCGTGATTTTCAATTGATACCTAGATATCTCATATTATTTTATAGGCTCTGGATCTTATTTAAGTCTTCAGTCTTAGCTGGTTTTCTCTGACCCTGCTCCTACACAGGATGGGTTGGGGACTGTTACTTCTTTACTGCCAGGTAGAGGTGGAAGTCCAGCTTCTCCACTTGGCCTCCATTGACACTTGAAGGAGTGGGTATTTCTCATTACTGCTGGTCAGGGGTGCGAGTTCTGCCTCCCCACATGGTTTCTGCTGATATCATGGTGGGGATAGCCTTGTTACTACTACATAATGGTGAAAGTCCTGCCTCTTTACTAGGTCTCTACTCTAGTGGAAAGGGAAAAGGACATCTCATTGCTTCCAGGTGAAGAGTAGGTTTCCCATGTAGTTTCCATTGACATTGGTTTACACTGGGGAGGTGGGGGTGGGACCCAGGGATATGGATACAGGCCTACAGGGATAAAAGTCCCTGATCTCTACATGGCCTCCTCTGACACCACCCAGTAGAGGTGCTGGGGGGCCTTGTTACAGCTTTGCCTTCAAAAGCGTGAAAGTCTCAGCTTCTCCCTCAACCTTTGCTGGTGTGGGTGGGACCACAGTTTTTTCTGTAGTGTTTGATTGGAGCAGAACAGTTATTGTCTTCAAAGTTTTCTGTCTTGCTGGGCTGTCCCTTTCCTAGTCTTTTGGCTAGTGAGAGCAGGCTTTTATTCAGGCTCCTCCTTCTCCTTCTTCTTCTCCTCCTGTCTGAACCCATTGGCATCTCTGGGTTGCTGCTCCAAGCCTTGGATATATGACACCATAAGAAAATCGAGGGAATGCACCACCATCTTTTCCTCAGCCCAGGTCCACAGCCTGTCTGCCGTCTTCGTATCTTTCCTAGTGTTCTAATGTCTGTTTTATAGACAATGTCCAGAGTTCTTAGCTGTATTTAGGAGGAGGAATAGGGAGAAGTACAGCTCCTCTGTTTTCCTGGTGTGGAATTCTCGGCCTCTCTGATTTTAAACAAGCCAAACTCACAAGAGGGCAAGCAGAAAGCAATTTTATTCTTTCTCACAACTATCTCTTTCAAATTGGCCTGTGGCCTCATTCTTCTAGATGAAATTTTAGGCAGATTCATAGCCTTTTTAATCCCTTTCAGTTATAAATATGTGCATGTATGTTTGTTTGTATTAACATCAATCTTCTGAACTCTTGTCTAATCTAATCTTTTGCCCTCCCAAACTTGGACCTATCTCAGGGCCTATCTATATCTATGGTAGAAAGAGTGGGTCTTGGGAGTCTTGGTTAACTTCTTTACTATTTCCCCTCCTTACTCTTTTCTCCTCCCCTGTCTCCCTCTTTCTTTTCTATTTATTTTTAGAGCTAGAGACTCGCTATATTGCCCAGGCTAGACTCAAATCCTAGGCTCAAGCGATCCTCTTGCCTCAGCTTCATAAGTAGCTGGGACTACAGCACTCAGCTCCCCTTTATTTTCTGTGTTACATCTGGCTCCACTAGTGTTGAAGTGAGGGAGATCAAGGAGAAATATGGGGCAGGAGAAGATCCTGTGTCTGTTATAGTTTTAATCAGGTGTTGGAGCTCTCCAGATGTAGCCAAAGGCTAACTCTTTTCCATGGGGCCCATTTGTGGATTTTTCAGTTCTTCCCATTTCTGGTTATTATTTGGAATCAGAATACCAATAATTAAAAAGAAATAGCATTTCAAGCAAGGGAATATCTGTTCTGGTTTGGAAAAAAATCTATTTCACACACATTTTCGGTTTTAGAAAGGATATTTTTGTTAAGAAGGAATATTTAAAAGTTTATATTTAGAATGCTGTCAAAAGTTCCAAATTATTTGTTAAATATTTAGATGATTTTATAGAAAAGGAACATTTCAAATAAAACTCAAGCATAAAATAAAGAATACCAATTAGTCAATAATACCAATTAAAGCATTAAAAAAAGAATACCAGTTAAGCAACCAACTCGCCTGTTGGGCTGTGAACTGACCATGCCCATTTCTGCCTACATTTTTTGCTCACACCATTCACTGGCTGAAATGCCTTCCCCTTCCTCTAGCCAAATCCTGCTTTTCCTTTGAGGCCCAAGTAGCACCTCTTCATGAAAGCCTCCCATAACTACCCCAACTCACTTCTCTTTTTCCTTTCACATTTAGCTATTGACTCCTGCCTCACGAAGGCTGGTGCTGTCTCCACAGTGAACATTGTGCACCTCAGGGTAGAATGGAGAGCACAAGGCTTCAAATCAGGCAGTCCGGGTTCAGACCCCAATTCCAGTGCTAAAGAGCTGCGTGACTTTAGGCCGATTGCGTGTGACTTCCCTGCGCCTCAGTCTCTTTGCCTGCAAAATGAGAAAAATGATAACAATGTCATCAGTTGTTCTGAGGATTCTGAGAGGAATTAGTAGGAGAGGGAACTGAGAAGCTGCAGGCATCTACAAAGCTATTCAACTGGCATTTAGGAAGATGTTGCCCATCAGAGTCAGACCTTCTCAGCATCTTCCGGCTGGGCCCAAACTTCCCAAGACCATTTGGACAAGGTCATCTCTATCCCACCCTGGCCTCCTCCCGGAGGCGGAGAAGAATCATGCTGTTACAGAAAAACTGACGATTTGGGCAAGAGAGCTAATGATTATGTTCTGCGTCGGGTCAGAGATGGGCTGGGAAAACCACTCCAAAGCCAAGACAAGCAGTGTCCTGGAAAAAGAAAGCTGCATGGAGCCCAGAGTGGCCTGGATCCTGCCTCATTTCCTGGACCAGCTCCTTAGCTGGTTACTGGATGGCCAATAAAGCAGAGCTTATTAAAGTCAACCAAGTCAGGCTTCATCGCTGCCCTGGTATCCAAGCACTAGTCTGCCTGGTATTTCATTTGCCTGATGGACAAAGGAGAGGATGTTCCAGTACATATCCTGAGTGGTGGGAGTGGGGAGAGAAGGGGAAGAATGCTCTCTAGAGATTTCTCTTTGTCCTCTGAAGTAAATAGAGGTCATGTCTTCCCCAACCACACTCAGTGATCTGAATCTCTTGGACTGTGGATTTTTCCTTTACCTGCCGTGAAGTCTTGAAAAGTATGAATTAGCTAGATAATGATCCTCTAAAGATGTACAAGAGTTAAAGATGTGTTTAAGTTCTTCAAGCAATCCAATATGACTACAGGTTTCCAAAAATTTGAAGGAAACTGAAAGTCACAGTTCCCAAACCAGATATTTTCCGGTGTCCAGATGTTCAGTGGCATGCAAACCAAATGTCTGGATTATGAGCTCGTTTTTTCATTTCTTTTTTTTTTTTTTTTTTTTTTCCAGCTTACATCCAGATGTTGGGTCCAGCTGGTCAGAGGACTGGGGCAGAGATAGAAATCAAATCTAGGGTGTTCATCTAGAGTCTCCTGCTTCTCTAATCCTGCTCCCTCTTCACGCTGCTCCCCACATCCTCCCCAACTCAGCTTTATGCTACAACTTGGCAAATACAGCTCATATCCAGACACAGTGCTGCCCTTGACAGCTGGGTCCACAAAGGCAGGTCGGGTATATCTTTAAAGAAAAGTTATCTTGGCCGGGCGCGGTGGCTCAAGCCTGTAATCCCAGCACTTTGGGAGGCCGAGACGGGCGGATCACGAGGTCAGGAGATCGAGACCATCCTGGCTAACACGGTGAAACCCCGTCTCTACTAAAAATACAAAAAACTATCCGGGCGCGGTGGCGGGCGCCTGTAGTCCCAGCTACTCGGGAGGCTGAGGCAGGAGAATGGCGTGAACCCGGGAGGCGGAGCTTGCAGTGAGCTGAGATCCGGCCACTGCACTCCAACCCGGGCTACAGAGCAAGACTCCGTCTCAAAAAAAAAAAAAAAAAAAAAAAAAGAAAGAAAGAAAAGTTATCTTAACCATTCAGAAGCCTTCTTTCCTCAGAGGAGAGCACCTCCCCAGCAGACCTCCGAGGAGAGCAAGGGCAGGACGGGAAGGATAGAAGGAAGTTTCAAGACTGCAGGAAACAAGAGCTTGGAGGTCAAGGGAGAAATCAGAGAAAACATGAATCTGATCAGCATCCTCATGGTCTAGAGTGGAGACGATCTGTGGAGTCAGCCTCAGTAAGGACACAGGTAGTCAGAGAAGAACCAAAGCCTCTAAAGATGAAGCTGAGAAGTATATGGTCGTAGAAGACTAGTGTCTGTTATTCCTAAAAGCTCAAGGAGGTATAAACCACGTAAGATTTAAATGGAGGAACACACAATCTTACCTGCTTTCAGAGGATTTTGGGGTCCCCATTCTCCCATTAGCAGTCAGGCAACTCTCTCTGTCATCTCCAAAGGGAGGAGTGGAAAGGCTTCAAAAGCCCTAGGAAATAAATGTCCCCTTCACCCAAAATCCAGTGTGTAGCCTGAGGACAGGACTTTCACTGAGAGAAATATGTAGAAGGGGATAGAAGCCAGGCACCCAGGTGGTGGGTGACAGAAGAGAACTTCCTAGCTGGTTTTAGTTAGGAAGGGCATCCTGGGCAAAAGTCAGAATGCAACTTTTCTTTTTTTTTAACTCCTTTTAACAAGATGCTGTTGAATTCCTCTTTTGCAG